TCTTTTTTCTTGATCATTAAGTATGCAAGAAGGAGAGGGAATGTGGAGGAATTACCTGTTTCTTTCTTTCTTATTCTCTGCTGAATGTAGTTAACTTGTTTCCAGATTCCCCGTGCAAACCACGTGCTTTCAGATTGCCGCGAAGAAGAAAGAAGACTATATTCTCGCCGAGTGCATGGCAGGACGACGCCTTGCACCGTCGTCGCCGAGCAGACTCTTCCGGCTGCCGCGATTGTGAAATGTGCCACCGCCGTTCCCTTTGGTAGATAAGCGATGAAAGCGTGCGTCTTAGGAGCGCTGTAACGTGCTGACTGGACTGACGGTGGGGGAGCACCGGTGTGCGTGCTGCCTGCTCTCCTTCATACTGTACTTGTTCCGTACATAAGTATATCATCAGCAGCAGCAGCAGCAGCAGCCTGACTACGTCCCCTGCAGGGCGAAGGCCTCTTCCATGTAACTCCAGTTAACCCGGTCCTGTGCTTGCTGCTGCCTATTAATACCCGCAAACTTCTTAATCTCATCTGCCCGCCTAACTTTTTGTCTCCCCCTAACCCACTTGCCTTCTCTGAGAATCCAGTTAGTTTCCCTTAATGACCAGCGGTTATCATGTCCACGCGCTACATGTCCGGCCCATGTTCATTTCTTCTTCTTGATTTCAGCTATGATATCCTCAACCCCCGTTTGTTCTCTAATCCACTCTGCTCTCTTCTTGTCTCTTAAGGTTACACCTGCCGTTTTCCTTTCCATTTCTCGCTGCGTCGTCCTCAATTTAAGCTGAACCCTCTTTGTAAGTTTCCAGGTTTCTGCTCCGTAGCTAAGTACCGGCAAGATGCAGCTGTTATATACCTTCCTCTTGAGGGATAGTGGAAATCTACCTGCCATAACTTGAGAGTGCTTGCCAAATGTGCTCCACCCCATTTTATTCTTTTAGTTACTTCAATCTCGTGGTTAGGCTCCGCAATTGTTACCTGCCCTAAGTAGACACAGTCTTTTACAACTTGAAGTGCACTATTACCTATCTCGAAGCGCTGCTCTCTTCCGAGGTTGTTGAACATTACTTTCGTTTTCTGCAGAATAATTTTAAGACCCACCTTTCTGCTCTCCTTGTCTAACTCTGTAATCATGAGTTACAATGAGTTACAATTAGTCCCCTGAGTTACACAGCAATGGCATGTCATCGGCACAGCGCAGGTTACTAAGGCAGGGGGGCACAATCTCCTCAATGCTGTTCACCGCGTGCTTACATAAGTATAACGAATAAAAGTAATAATAGTTGTTGCGGTTTAACATCCCAAAGCCAGGATATGGTTATGAAAGACGCCGTAGCAGATGGCTCCAGAAATTTCAACCACCTGAGGTTCTTTAACGCGCCCCCTATATCTACGTTCGCGGGCCCCGAGCATTCTCGGCTCTATCGCAAATGCGGTCGCCTTGATCGGGACTCCCACATAGCGCAGTCAACGATGTGGAGGCTAGTGAGACTTCTAGAAGTGTATGTACTATCAAATAGTTCATTCTTCATTCCAATGCAAGTGCGGACGCAAGAAAGAAGACACCGCAAACATTCAACCGTGTACATGTTTGTTCGCCCAGGCTTTTGGAATTGATGCTCACCGACTAGCTCAGCTTTATGGTACTTAATTCTTTTTTTCTCACTCTTAATTCGATTTCTTTCGTTTTTATGCTGAGCAGCAAAATTACATGTGTTTTCAGTTCAGAGGTAAAAAAAAACTTTGTTATACAGCTGTAAATCTGTTCTATATCGCTTAGGGTCTCGTAGTCGTCATTTCTTTGTGAATTTTCTTTTTTTTTTTTCGGGCGTCGGGGCGTGTGGCGCACGTGCCCTTGCTCTGCTAAGTTTCCTGGCACGAACATTTTGAACGACGAAACGCGACCGACCTTCGCGCGTACTTTAACGACGCTGAATGCTAGGTATCGAGTATTGTACTCCGTCGACATCATTATTCGTTGTTGCTTTCGTCGTCATAACACTTAGCTTTCATGCCTGTACATCAATACCACATATTAAATTTCAAGATCAGGGATGGCAAATTTATAAATGAATTAAGGTCCATCTCCAATTATATTGTAGAAATATTGTAGAAATTTTAATGAAGTACTTCAACTATATTACAAGTCATAACGTTAAGATACAATATTACTTTCCGAAAGTAATGAAGTTACCAACTCATTAAAAAGTTGATAATGTATGCAAGAACTTAGGTACGTACACTTCTTTTAAAGAAGCATGTACTTCACTTGAAGCTCATTTAAGTGCCTGCGAGTATATGGCAGGACCGGCGCCTGGCGTGGCAACGCCGGCGTGACGCGACGAAATGAACGCCGGCGAGCCCGCACTCCACGTCACGTCGAAATGTATTGGCGCCTTGACTGGCACGTAGTCATGTTCTCACATGACACGCATATTATGATTATCATGTTTGCACCAGTCACATACCTTCGTCATCCGTTGGCGTCATGTAATACCAAATTTGGCATATGTGAAGCTAGCGAGATGGCCGAGACCGCATCATGAGTGTGGCATGGAGTCATGTAACATGACACGCATGTCGGGATTATCATGTTTTGATATGTCATTTACCTATGTCGTCCGTTCGTGTCGCGCAATACCGAGTTTGGTACATGTGAAGCTAGCGAAACGGCCGCGAGCGCATCATGAGCGTAGCATGTAGTCTAGTTGTTACATGACATGCATCTCATGTTTAATGTTTGCACCAGTATCGTACCTTCGTCATCCATTCACGTCTTGTAATACCAAATTGGGTGTAAGTGAAGGTAGCGAAACGCCACCAGTGCATCATGAGCGTGGCATGTAGTCATGCTGTTCTATGACACGCATCTCATTATTATCATGTTTGCACTAGTCACATACCTTCGTCATTCATTCACGTACCATAATATGGTATACGTTACGCGAGTGAAACGGCCGCAAGCGCATCATGAGGGTGGCATGAAGTCATGTTGTTACATGACACGAAGGTCATGATTTTCATGTTAGAGTCTGTCGCTTGCGTTCGCCATGCGATCATGCAATACCATACCATTTTGCAACGTAACATGTGAATGAAATCACCACAAAAGCAGCAAGCTTATGACATGTAAATCATAAATTTTATGACATGAATTTCATGATTTTCATGTCATGACTAGTCAAGTGTGTTCTTCATACAGTCATGTTATGGCATACCAAGCTTGGTATAGATATCATCGTCGAAACGGCCGGGAGAGCTAAAAGTCGTAGGCGGCTATAGATAGATGGATAGACACGCTCAACGTCGCCGAAATACGCTAAGAAATGCTTCGCAATCAATAGGACCTGTTCTCGTGGTACGTCCTAGAACTTGCGTGACTACAGCGAAAAGATGATATATATGTGTGTGACCCTGCTAGCTCAACTTTGCAGTGGAGTATAAAACAGAAGTGGCACAATAGCTACTCTCTGAACAGCCCTGAGTTCTTCCGTCGTGAGGCATCCGCAGCCATTCAGATGGCCTGTGTGGCGGCAGAAGGCTTTGGCCCCTCAATCCCTACGTAGAAGCGGTCCGCATCAGTACTGGACCCATTCCACAGGACTTAAACGTTTTTCACAACATACGATAGCTAGCTCTGTGTAGAAGAGAGAGAGGAAAAAAATGTATCAGAAAGGTAGGGAGGTTACTTGACTAAGTCAAGTTTGCTACCCTACACGGGGAGAGAGGGGGATGAGGGAGAAAAGAGAGAGAGTGTAGCCAGCTGCTGAGTTTGGCTGCTGATGGCCCTTATATTTATTAGTGCTGTGAAGTCTTTGGTTACCATGACGACTACAGTTTTACACTCTGAGTCCAGTTTACTTGGCATGGCCAGAGAGCGAAGTAAGTAGCAGAACTACAAACACTATTGCTGATGACGTGTTGTTATTGATTGTTCAAATAGCTTTTAATGCGAGTGAAACAGACAAAAACAAGACGAGGAATAGTCTGGCAGATGGTGCATGGATTTGCACATGCAACACCTGGCTTCATTTCACAAAGGAGATGACAAAAGTTTTGGAATTCAAGAATAAAACGAAACGAGAAAGCAAGAACTGACAGGTCCCCAAAACTTAAAAACAGTGGAGCTTATCTTTCGACGTTGAAAACTGCAGATAACCAGTGGTCAGTCGGGGACACGCAATAAGGACTGATAGATGGGGCAAAGTTGGCTACGGTGATGGAACTTCAAAAAAAATACACGCACGAAATAGAAATATCTTGCACAGGACTCGGTAAACTGCGGCCACCCTCTGGTCTTTCCAGAAAGGAAGGTAAGATTGGGATAGCCGACAGTGCGAAGTGCAGTGGCTGCGCCCTATAATGAGACTATTGAACACCCCTTATGTTACTGCCCGACATACACAAATGAGAGGCTTCACCTGCGCAGTGTTTTAAATCAACTAGACAGAAGTGACTTCACTGTCACGAAAGTATTGGGACTATGGCACTGCCCATCCCAATTACGAAAGGCAACAAAAGCGCTTTTGCGTTTTGTCAAAGGCACCGGACTGTTTCATTGTTTGTGATGGGAATATGAAACTGTTACGCGTCGGCCCAGCCAGTGACTATTGTCTCCTCTCCTATACCTTTGTTTCCTCTCTCCTCTTCCCTATAGTGCAGGGTAGCCTACCGGGGCTCAGCCCTGGTTAACCTCCCTGCCTTTTTTCTTATTTTATATTTCTCTTTCTCCAGAGTTCATTGGGAGATGATTGTTCTAGAGTGTAATATTTTACACCATAGTATTATTATTATTATTATTATTATTATTATTATTATTATTATTATTATTATTATTATTATTATTATTATTATTATTATTATCGTTGTTGTTGTTGTTGTTGTTGTTGTTGTTGTTGTTGTTGTTGTTGTTGTTGTTGTTGTTGTTGTTGTTGAGGAACAACTTTTATTCCTACACTGCGATTACAAACGCAACCAACTGAATCACGATTTCTTCTCCTGGTTGCACAGCTGAGCGTGCAGCTCCGATCGCAGTCCCTACCTGTCCACGCCGACGCCTTCCAGCATCGGGTGCGCCCCGCGCTCGTCGAGACATGCCGCACTCGGAGCGGCGGTCGCAGTCGCTGACGCCCCAGATGTCGGCGTGCGCGGCCGCCCGCAAGGCCGCCGGTGCTTCTGCCGAAGGAGACCACCGCGGCATCGCGCCGGCCGTCGTTGACGCGACGACGGTGGGCGACGACGAGACCTTCTGGGTGCGCGGACTGAAGCTGCCGCGCGAGTTCTCTCGCACGCTAGTCGAGTCGGCGATGGATTACGAGCCGCGCGACGACGATGTCTTCGTCGTCTCCTACTCGAAGTGCGGGGCCGCCTTCGTCCAGCACATCGTGCACCTCATCTTCAACAAGGTAAGGGTGTATACTAAGCGTTGACATGGTGCACTGTTATAGAGTGGCGAGGGCTCACCATCTCCCTTGACCACCCGGTACTGAACGAGCCACCAGCGGCCAAACGTCAGGCTGTATAGGACAGGCGGTGGCTTTATCTAGACCCGCACCTATCCATGTCCAGCTGTTATTATGAGGCACATTATATGGGCTTGCCCATGGGTGCCTCAACCAGACCACAATATAGTTCCGCAGGAGCAGTGGCAGGCAATACTGCTAGGCTATAAGGTCCGGAAGACCAACTTCAGGCTGTCCAGCTGACCGATAACGCTGCCAAGGATGTGCATGCGTGCGAGCACGTACTGCTGCGATATGACGTCCACTGCATTTCAATATACAGCTAGTGGCAATATACCCTAGTCGAATTCACTTGATGGGAGCTGCAGCTCGTAAGAAATCAGCACCTCGCATAGCGAGCTACGCCGAATAATAAGTCCGGAATTCTGCAGAGGAGCAATGGAATGCAATGCAGGGTGACATTCCATGGCTAAGCGGTGCAGCTCCCTTCATCGTTTGCCACAGACTACGAGCGTTTGCGTCTACGTCCAGGGAGTTTTCATAAACGACGTCCACAGCTGTTCTTGTGATGTGGACGAAACTCCGCATCTGTTTTAGCAGCCTCATTTAACGGAGTGTACGGTGAAATGCCGCGAATACCGGTTCACTCGACTATCCTATTCATTGCCGCTAAAAAGTAGATCAACCTCGTTCACAAAACGTCCTTTCAACCGAGCACGTGGAATTCTATTCGTAATGTATATACGCTTGTAATAATTTAAGCCGGCTTCTCAAAGACGACTGCATGTAGTGTGCGAGCGCCCGTGAATGCCAGCGAACATTTATACAATATGAACTAGACTGTGCTGATTTCCGCTTTACTTTATTTCATCTTCTTTATAGTCACCTCCTCCATTTCGCAACACCTAGATAAGAAAAGAACCATGAGCCCAATAAAATGCAACCATTTATAATGCTTAAATTTCGTTACTCAACTTTTGTATCGGTTTGGTTCAGCAGGTATCCTTGCTCAAATGTGAAAGTGTTCGAAGACTGCGACCTTCGCCCCCATGGAACACGTTATTTATGCTTGCAGCCAGAATCACGTTACTAATAGTTCAATTCAGATTTTTATTTGCGCTGCTCACGATATCCTTATCATGAGCTTCCCGCAGGCTGCTAACGTATCTGCGCAGAACACCAATATACAACAAAAGTCATGAACCAAACATATGCCTCTTTTATTACTTCCTTGTTTTGTTCAGGTGCACAAAATATAGTTCATAGCTTGTTGACTCTTGGGCGGTCAGAGCTTTGAGCTTTTAAAGGTTGTTGAATTCAAGAAGTTTTTTTGAAGCTGTTGCAGTTTTTAAATACTCTAATCGTAGTGGTATAATCTCGGGTTCCTCCGATGGAGGCCTATGTTATAACCGGATGGAGGCTGGTTATAACTACTTAATCATGGGTCCTATTATCATTTCACCCTCTGGTATCTTTAAGCTTTTTGATTCACTAAAGGCATCATGAAGTCCTGGCTCAGACTCAGTTACTCCCAAATTTTTAAAAAGCACCAGTGCCATTTCGTCATTGTTTCTTGCACATATTTTTCAGCAATCCATCGATAACGGCGCTCTCCCACAAGACTGGCAGGTCGGGAAGGTGGTTCCGATACACAAGTCAGGTAGTAAAAGTTCACCCTTAAACTACCGCCCCATATCATTAGCCAGTATTCCTTGCAAAATATTAGAACACATTATTTACAGTAACGTCGCCTCATTTTTGGAAACACATTCTTTTTTTTTCAGACGCGCAACATGGTTTCCTCAAAAATCGATCTTGCGAAACACAAATGGCATCCTTCATTCACCAGCTTCATGTTACTTTACATCGTAGGTCACTAACTGATTCTATTTTTCTCGACTTTTCTAAGGCTTTCGACAAAGTAAGCCATAAATTACTGCTCGTAAAGCTCAAACAACTAAACCTTGATAATAACGTCATCAGATGGATAGAACATTTCCTACTTAACCACACGCAGTTTTTAACTGCCAATGGGTGCTATTCTTCATCTCGTAAATAAAAGGGTTCCGTCTTTGGACCCCTTTTATTTCTAGTTTACATTAATGATTTGCCTTCATGTGTTTCTTCTAACATAAAACTGTTTGCAGATGACTGCGTGGTGTTCCGTGAAATTAACAGCCCGAACAACATCACTGCCCTTCAAAATGACATTGACTCCATTTTTGACTGATGCACGACTTGGCAAATGGAACTAAATATTTCAAAATGCAAGGTATTGCGCATTTCCCGAGTATCATCTTCTTCTGCTTCTTACTCACTTAACAGCACCCCACTCGAATCAGTTACCTCTTACCGTTATCTAGGCATACACATCACCACTTGTTTAATCTGGTCACTCCATATTTGCTCCATTATTAATAACGCAAACCGCATGCTTGGGTACATTCGTCGCAACTTCTTTTCCGCACCTGTCTCTCTTAAACTACTAATGTACAAGACGCTGATTCGTAGCAAGATGGAATACGCCGCTTCAGTATGGGATCCGAGTGCAACTAATTTAATCAATGCTCTTGAGCTAATCCAAAACAATTCTGTTAGTTTCATTCTTCACCACTACAGTCGTCACTCTAGCATTTCTGCCATGAAAAATTCCCTCGAACTGCCGTCTCTTGCCTCTCGTCGTATGCTCTTCCGCCTCTGTCTATTTCACAAAATTTGTCATATTATTCCAACTTTTCGCGAGGCACTTATTTTTCAGCCTTCTTACGTATCATCTAGAATTGGTAATCCTAATAAAGTTGGCGTTATGTCATGTCTAACCAAGACATGCAACGATTCATTTATTCTCAGAACATCAGTAGACTGGAACCACCTTCCCGGATCTGTGGCCATCTTGACCGATCATCACTTGTTTCGTTCTGCGCTAACTAGGATTGTATAAACGCCCATACTTACTTACTCATTCTGTTTGTACACAAGGCTTATATATCGTTCTTTTTGTTTGTTTTTATTCATTTTATTATTAGCTAACATTGTATGAGTAAAAACTCGTGTTTCACCCCCCTCCATACTGCCTTTGGCCCGGAGGGTATCACGAAATAATAAATAATATAGGAGTAGTGCGCTTTAAGGGGTCCTGCAGCACTTTTCTAAGTATCTATCCAATGGCTTCATCAAATGTCTTCAATTCATCACGAATAGACAGCCGCAAAAATTTTTCCGATCTGTCGAGTAGGAGTGGAGTTACGGAGATTTGTCCCACCCTGCAATTGCATCCTCTCTTTCTTCGTTCCAATGAAACCGCTGGTAACTAAGCAGGCAGAGATGTTACCGGAGAAAGAAGTTACGTCATGCACCTTTCGAGACCTTGAGTCCTACTTCTTTTTTTCCCCCTTCGAACGCGTATCGTTCTTTCAGAGTGATCACGAGCTGGCGGCCTCCCACGGCGGCCATGATAACTGTGCAGCTTACAATGCTCAAGTTAGTCACTGGCCGTTAATTTGGGTACTGACGCGGTCATTTGGGAATAAGGCATCATTTGTAGAGAGAAAAGAAAACGATTTCGAACTGTCTTTCTCAATTAGGTGAAAATTTTAGGCCGCGTGCTGCGCTATAATAAAGGCTTTTAGCTTGTACGTATACTTCTTTACGTCACCGTTTTACCGGATGCCGGATAGAATCTGCGCATGCGCGGGTCTTTACGGAACGTAAACCTTTACGTTTCCCGCCGGATGGGGTTTAAAACTTTACGTTTCCCGCCATATAGGCTTTACGTTTTTTGGCCTATCTCGCGAATTCACCTTCGTTGGTAGCAACTCGTGGTATGCAGTTAGCATCACCATTTATGGTTTGCGAAAACTTAAGGTGTACGCGTTTACGTACGTACGAAAACGTTTACGTATGAGGAGCTAAAACGTTGAAATATATACGTTCCGGTAAGATGGTAAACGAGAACCGGTATACAGTAACGCGTTAACGTAAAGAAGTATACGTACAAGCTAAAACTCCTTATGTTTGCTTTGCGTGTTCTCAGGGGCCCCGACGCTCGATCAGTAGTGTTTTCTGACCACGATGAAAATGGTTGCAGAGCCTCTTGAAAGTAAGCAGGTCTCCGTGACGCCCGTAGACTGATGCGCTCCTTGAAGCGTGCGTTTGCGTGAAATAACCTGAAAAGTTGCAGTGCTACATTTTGACTCAACTAGCACGTGGTACTTACTGGCTCCATAAAGCCACTACGAAAGGGCGAAATTGCTCTTCACCAATTTGCCCACAAAGGAAACTAACATGGATTTTTCAGAAAGAAAGCTTCTTCGTTGACAAAATATTCGTTCTTGTGGAGGATTCGAACACGAGACCAGCGCCTTCCCGAAACGACCACTCTAATACTTTGGTTAACGAAAGGGCTCATGAGCGAGAATTCTAGGGTTAAGCGAGAGAAAGAAAACAATATAGAAAATGTAGAGAAGTTAACTAGGCTCTGTGTGAAAAAATCGAAAAATTGATGCCCACGGACACTAAACATGGGAAATCTATTCGTAACACAATCGGCTTGATTATATTTTTTTTTCGCTTTTCGTTAAGATTCTCCGCCTTCTCGAGCTTCTACAAAAGTCGCTTGCCGCATGTAAATAAAATATTGCATTTCATTTAAAACAAACAACAACACTGGAATAGTTTTCGGCCTTCAATTCGAGAGTCGTTTCTCCCAAATATCTTATTTTGAGTACATTTTTACGCATTCGTACACGCCTGGAACGCTATGCGACTCATAACAAATACTTATTTCTTGAGGTAATTAAATGCTAGGAGCCACTTGGCCACCTCTCGCAATGCTATGCAAGTTTATCTTCTCGATTTGGTATAATGTGAACACTTCCACATAATCCGACAAGTGATTTGTTAGTGTCCCAACTGGAAACATTGCCGCCAAAAGACTTCGTACAGACGGTTAACCGGCGAAACTCAAACGCTAGGCCCGGGTGTTTTAGCTTTTTATCTCTCTCCCTCTCCACTTTTAAAATACACGGGCTTCAAGCTTTGCTTTCCGTGACGTTAGCTTGAATGATAATAAGAGCCCCTTTGGTATTTTATGAATAGTGACGCATGTAACGGTGGTTATCGCACTTAGTTACATACGCCGACAAAACCTGACGAATAACTCTGTAGTGCAAACGCGGAGACGTTTCAGGGTAGCGTATGCTAGCATCGATTTTACGTTGTACTTCCCGCGCGCTCACAGACCGCCACATCCTTTGACCTCCTGGCCATGCGCAGCTTCGCTATAAAGAAGTGTATGGCGCAGGGCCACCCGTCTGGCGACTACGTGCAGTGGAACAAGGCGACGCCGCACTTGGAGCTCGTGGGCGCGGAGGCGGTGCGCCGCATGCCGCGTCCCAACGCCATCAAGTCACACCTGCCTGTCCAGCTGATGCCTTGGTCCGAGCAGGCCAAGTACATCTACGTGGCGCGCAATCCCAAGGACTGCTTCGTCTCCATCTTCCTCAACCGACAACTCTTCCTCAAGCAGAAAGTCCATGGATGCCGCCTTCCAGGTGATGTAGGACTCAGTTCACGCTAACGTTGGTAGTTATCTTTATCAGCAATAACTGTTTCATTTTTATTCTATAATGCTCAGCAGAACGTCCACTTTTTTAACATTGTGCCTTACCTACTATCCAATCTGTCAGGTTCAGCCCTCAAAAGTGAGATGCAGTATGATGCGTGAAAGCATACCTGAGCTCTCGCACTTTCCTTTCACAGAAAATAATAGTGTGGTGGAAAACTCGAGTTTTTCATGTATCATTGTCGCATCATGGGTTTCGGCACTGTTCACGCACTTACAACCTACTTGATGATTGCAGAAGTTAACTGGCATATACATTAACTTTGTGACTTTTTACAGCCTCGTGCTCTGGCTATGTGCGTATACCTCTAAAAATAACACATTTAACAATGATCAGTTTTTTTTTTCACTGCAGCAATGAACATTAGCCTATAGACTTGTCATGACTGAGTTCCCTCTAGCCAGGCCGCAATTATTACGCCATATCTAGTCATCATCGTGCAACATTGGTGATGTGGTTAACATGAAATTAAAATCATCATTCAAACTGCGGAGGGGAGTGTTGACCCCTGCCGGTATAGAAGGCGTGTCAATATGGTATAGTCAGGGACACTTACGTTCGCTGTTTACCATTCTGCCGTTTACCTCATCAGAGGCTGTGTTAGAGCTAGTTTGTAGTGTGACATATTATGAAAACGCTAAGTGCAAGAAGACAGTAAAAAGAAGACGACACTCGGAGTGCTCACCTAGCGTGGTGTACACCATAGTTTCCTATAAGTACACTAAAGGGAACTCTGGCACTAGTGTCTATGGGAGCTGTAACGCATGACGCTTCAGCGAACTTGGTAATGATGGGTAGTACATGGATTTGCCTACTCTTCGTACTTTACATTCCATGTGGCTTCTCATGGCTTGAACCTGTTTTCTCACGAAAACACACTCGGCAAATGTTCGTTAGTGACGCTTCACCGCCTCGCCCTTTTAGGCTTACCAATTCAATTCAGGTCACGAAGTTTAAAATGATTTGTTCATTTATTTGCAACAAAACCAACATGCAGCAATAAAAGAAGCCACAAGTGCGCACGCCGCCCGGAAGCACAAAGACTAAGCAAATTCATGTACTATACCCATCCATCATTCCCGTGGTTGCTGAATGATCGCAGTGCTAGAGTCCCCTCTAACTAACTTTAGGGAAACTCTTATGGTCAACACCTGATGTGGTTTTGAATTGCCTCTAATATGGGAAGCATTTCAAGCTTTCTTCGCCTCGCCTGGGTGCAGAAACAAAACGACACAATCGTCTGTCTGTTGTCTCCTTCTTCCAGTCTTCTTGCGCTTACAGGTTTCAAATACTGTTACCTCAGTCGACGAACCGCCTTCAATACCACCTGTTCCCTTCCCTCTGTGAAACGCAGGAGTTCGTGAGTGGTGACATGATCTGGGGCGACTACTTCGACCACGTGTGCGGCTGGTACGAGCGGCGCGACGAGCCGAACGTGATGTTCCTGCTGTACGAGGACATCAAGCGGGCGCCGCACGAGGTGATCGAGAGGCTGGCCCAGTTCCTGGGCGACGAGTGGCTCGAGTCCTGTGGCGCTGGACGAGAGCGCGCTCGACATGATCGTGCACCACAGCTCGTACGATTTCATGAAGGAGCACGCCACGCGCACCGTGCACCGCTTCCAGGAGGCCGCCAGGGGCGACGACGACAAGAAGAACGAGGACGAAGAGGAAGACGTCGTGGACGACGTGGTGGTGCAGGCGCCCGCCCTGCGCACGCGGACATTCGCGCGCCGCGGAACCGTGGGCGACTGGCGCTCCACGCTCAACGCCGGGCAGGAGCGGCAACTGGAACGGATCCTGCGAGAGCGCTCCAAAGACTCGGGTCTCTGGAAGCTATGGATCGACTTGGACGAGGAAGACGACAGCGATTTCTGAGTGGTGGACTGCATGCGCCATTGCACCCGGACATATAGTCATTGCAGGATCACTGAAGAAACCTCTAAACATCTGTTGTTTATACATTATGTAGGACTTCAAACATTCCTCTTATTCGTGGAAGAAAAAAAAGCTGCGTATAGCTTGCGGAGATGTCGAACTGTCGGCCTCACTTCTTGGGGCCAAAGTCATGAATCTTGTTCGTAAGAAATGTTCGCTATTGATCTGCCTGCCTTTTTTGATGATAAGTCGGACGGGCTGATGAGTTGGCTGGCCGCTGCTCTTGCAAACATCTTTAGTGGTAGAATCAGTTCGTGTGAATGTGGTGCACGATGCTTTGACAGAGCACTTGCCTTCTGCAATTCCTTCCTTATTCTTCAAGTGCGTATAGGCTCCCTCGGGATCGTCGACACGACTCGGTGGAACCGAAATGGACGTATAGATATCTAGCGTATTACGTTTCAGTGTGTCTGATCCCGCAATAAGTGGATCAGTCTTCGCCGTCGCCGTGTTCTACAAGGCTATACTTTATCGTTTATGCTATTACGAGTCGCTATACTCGTAGCAGGGCCACTGACTTTCTTTGTGGCTGGAGTTCGCTTGGAGCTAAACTGTGAGTTATCTACTGTCGGTGCTGATCAGCGACAGTGAATCCATCACTGAAGTTGCCGCTTGGACAAGTTACGACGTGGATGGTTGAAATCACTCGCACCAGTTCGGACATGGTGGTCAGTAACGAAACCTGAATGACCACTAAAAGGATTCGCCTTCGACTTCGGTGGAAAAGCGAAACGTGACCATGCTACATATTGCGCATGCAAGGCGTCTCTGTTTACTAGGCATGCGTCAATGTGGTATAATGTTTGAATCAGGGGGTTCTCGAGTCATCGAAGTCGGTCTGATTATTCTGTACAAACGTACGGGTTTTATATATGTTTACATGCAGGGAAGTGTGCCTGTATGTTTATTCTAATAATCCTGATCTGCCTTTCGTAAAACTCGTACGAGAAGACAGAAAAGTGGTGTAGTCTTTGATATTCAGAGTGTTCGGCTTTTTAATAATTGATTAGAACATCGCTGTCGAGTTTGGAATGCAGCTCATCATTCGCGTTAGAGCGGAATCAAGCCTTAACTAGAATGCGTGTGGCGTTGTGCATTGCAGCGCGCATATAGTAGTATTATATAGGTTTGAGCTCTGAACGAATGCACGTCCTCGTTTCTATACCAAAAGAATCAAGGCAAAAAGCGCAGCTGTATCAAACTCTGGAAGCATTGACCCAAGTACACGACTTTCGGGCATGGTGCAGGATCGTGATCACGAGTTTAAGTATTTGTGGAGTTGACAGGGTGTCGATGACAGTCCGCTGCCGCACCGGGCGGGAATATGTGTTTGGTGGCAGTGACATTGAATGAGTATCCTTCCATAGATTGCTGAATAATGATTGTGTAATTGTGCAGCATTACAACGGCTTGGGAGAGACAGGCTGATCCAGAAGGATCCGTGATTTGTCCGTTCAATTACGTGCGCTGTGACCAATAGGCTATTGCTGAGCCGGAGTTCACGAGTTCGACTCTCGAATTCGGCAGCCGCATTCCGGCGGTGCGCATTGCATATATGCGCTCACACGTGCACCGATTTTTGAGCGCACGGAAACGTTCGTAGGGCTCGTACTAGTGCGGAACCCTAGCTGGAACGTAACTCATAGCCATCATAAATAGGTACATCATGACTACGTGAAATAAAATATCGTCATCTCATTTTAATCTCACCAGATGCTTAAATCTAGTGCGTGGTAAACGCTTAAGCGTGAGACCAGCGTGGATCTTCTGCCGGTTTTTGAAGATGTTTTTTTTTAGTCTCTAATTGATGGTTGATCTCTGAAGCAGTGGCTCATAGGCTAACTTATAACCTCTTGGCGTAGCAAGAGTCATATATCCCACTATCATTCATTCGCTGTTCATGCACGTTTGGCATGACAACTAACTCTTCCGCATCGCTATGATGAGCCTCGAAAACGGATACGGGCAGTTGAATACAGTGACTGCGATTTGGGTATCACCCCTTTCAAGCATTTGCACTGTAATAGAATGATTTGTTAAAGCTGGAAAGAGGTACGAAAGCGTGAGGTGCTGATTACATTACGTCGTTTTTCTTCGCGCAGAGCGTACTACTCGAGCCATGCGCCCTGTAATTGTAGAAGATTAAACCAGTCAAAGGGACATATGATGGAGAAGTGGCGCCATAGTCGTTTTGGGTGCCTCTTCTTTCCTTCGTTGTTGGTCCTTTCTATTGGGTTATTGATTCAACGTTATATGTTAATTGATTCAGTTTTAATGTAATTGTGAAATTTTCCGCATTTTTAAGCAGCCGAACATTATAAAATTTGCTGATTTTCGTACAAACAATTCATGGAATAAGGACGTGTACGTGTGAAAGCGCCAACATATTGTTGAGTAAAGGTTACTGTGTTGGCTACTATTCCGGACCATTCCACATGTTGCCCCATTCATGTGCTGAAGTTGCTAACATAATAACTATGCTTTGTTCATTCGATATCGTTGCGCTTAGATTTCTTCCTTCTGTTTTGTTGAACAGATTCCTTCCGTATGAGGCTGTGAGTCTTTGTTTCTCGAAAAACGTTCGTTCCAGAAGAACAACAAGCTCAACGTTTTCGGCTTAGCCACCTAGTCAAACACTAACGCATACTGCTAAACCTGCATCACTAAAAGCACAGTTATTGATGCGCATGTTAAAACGAGCTGATGCAACATCTACCCTTCACTACAGACATCAAAGCCAGCACTGCTATTGATCCAGCTCAACTATAATTGAATTCGTTTGTTCATTAGTAGATGTGCAATGTGTTTACAGAATAAGGGCTGGGAAGACGAGGCTACTCTTAATACGTACAAAGGTGGAAAAAAATAAAAGTTATGGCCGAAACGTATAATTCGTCGTGTGCATGAAAAATTTTATGTGAAATACCAAGCCAGTATTGCCGGCAACTAATGAGCGATCATTTCTTAAGCTCAGCAAGTAGTATAAACCCACCGAGTGCATCGAATAAAAATTAGCCACATTTAACTCTATCCATCATATGTATCATATAAGAAAAAGAGAAGTGGATCCCATTCATTTTAATGTATACGTATCGAAACGGTAGACAGATTTTTCGCTTAGCGCAAATTTTGTGACACTAACGGGAGCCTAGGTCACAACCGAGAGCCGACCATGCCCACCGTTCTCTAGGACATGCGAAATGTTGGTGTCTCTTTCTTACAGCTTTCATAAAACGGTAAGTGTTGGTGGTTTTGACAGAGCCCCTTAGTACGCTGGCATATGCACCGTTGTTTCAAGCAGTATAAGACAGCTAAACAGGAGCGAATGCATAAAGCGCGAAAGCAAATAAGCACCGAACCTTTAACAGGTTTCGGCACAAATAATGTTCGCAGCGCTGCGAAGAAATGACAAACATAACGCCGCAGTGTAACTCCATCGCCTGACGACGACGTCAAATTCAGTGCCCCATGCAAGTCCCTCGATCGTCACGAAGCTCTTCTTGCAGGATCCTTAAGATTAATAATAATAATTTTTAGTGTTTAACGTCCCAAAACCACCATGCTATTATGAGAGACGCCGTAGTGTAGGGCTTCGGAAATCCCCTAAATATTAACAGTACATACAATTTGCAGCTGGTATGAATTTCGTGCCTCATTAAACAACCACGTGAAAGCTCGAGACCGTCTGTTTCGTTTTATGGCTTTCTTTTGTTATTTCTACTGTTGAAAATGCTACGATCAACAACCTGTGCAATAGAATACTTGATGGCGATGCGCTTTAACAACCATTCATTTAATTCATGTTACTCACAAAGACCGCCTTTCATCGTAAATAGTTGAATCCATCATGTTTTGTTACTGTTTAAAAAAGAGAGGCACAGAAGGGATTTTGTTTGTTCACGGAAAACTCGCAAGTACTCGCTCTGTTGCGTAAGGCAACAGTGAAATGGTGGCTGTACATATCCCCTTATACATACATACATACATACATACATACATACATACATACATACATACATACATACATACATACATACATACATACATACATACATACATACATACATACATACATACATACATACATACATACATACATACATACATACATACATACATACATACATACATACATACATACATACATACATACATACATACACACACATACATGCATACATACATACATACATACATACATACATACATACATACATACATACATACATACATACATACATACATACATACATACATACATACATACATACATACATACATACATACTGTAAGATGGCGTCGACTACCCTCAAGACTCTTCTTTATTGACTCGAGTATGAGCCCCACAACCTAAACTTGAGTGGTGATGATGAGTATGTACAGATGAAAAGATGGGACGCATAAATAATGCTCACACTTATTTTCCCCGCGCACTTGAGTGGCCGGCCCGGCCGAGACTTAGGCGGGAAAGGTACGGCGCACAAAGGGTTTAAGACGTGAAACGTGGACTATCTCGGAGGCACGGTAACGACGGTCCGAGGAACCCTCGACGAGAGTGACAAGGTAATTGACAGGAGATGTTCGTGCACAAACAACGTAAGGTCCTAGAAAGCGTGACTGAAACTTTTCACACAATCCGGGTGTGCGAACAGGCGTCCAAAGTAGTACTTCATCTCCATGACGGAAGGTGACGTCTCGACGAAATCTGTCATAACGTTGCTTGCGGTCTTGTTGACTGGCCTCCGTGTTGAGTTGAGCACGTTGCCGTGCCTCAGCAAGCCTGGACACGAAATGTTCTGACGTAGTCGTCGACGTTTTCGTCATTACATTGAAGACAGAGGCGTCAATGGTGAATGTCGGCGCACGACCATAGACGAGGAAGAAAGGTGAATACCCGGTGGTTCGTTGAACAGCGGTGTTGTGTGCAAATGTTACGAACGGCAAGATTTTGTCCCTATTATCGTGGTTCGGTCCGATGTACATGGATATCATGTCGATTAGAGCCCGGTGGAATCGCTCTGTCAGCCCATTTGTCTGCGGGTGGCAAGCGGATGTGGTCTTATGAACTGTGCCACAAGTTATTAGGATTTCGTCGAGAATTGTTGACAGGAAGGCCTTGCCTCGGTCACTCAACAACGCCCGAGGTGCACCATGACGCAGCACAATGGCTTATAAAAAGAAGGCGGCAACGTCTGAGGCAGAACTAGTACATAGAGGAGCGGTCTCCGCGTATCGTGTGAGGTGGTCGATGGTTGTGATGATCCAGCGGTGGCCCGCTGGCGTTACGGGAAGTGGCCCGACAAGGTCTATTTCGACAACGACAAAAGGTGTGTCGGGACATTGAATGGGTTGTAATAAGCCAGCAGGAGCTGAAGTTGGTCGTTTCCGGCGTTGACGAAGTGCGCAAGAAGCGACATAATTAGCCACAAAGGTAGAAAGACCAGGCAAGAAGAAACGGCTCCTATATAACGCGGTTGTAGGTCTTTTGAAATCCTAAGTGTCCAGCGAATGGGTCGTCGTGCAATGGTTCGAGAACTTGTTTTCGCAGCAAACGGGGAAGTACTGGCACCCACCGATGCCCATCCGCATTGTAAGTATAGTGCTGCAGGACATTGTTCTCTAGCTTGAACAGCCGTAGCTGACGACGTAGTCTGGCATTAGGTGGAGAAGGCGAGCCATTCAAGTATTCAATGATGCGGTTACAGTAGGGGTCGTCACGTTGGTACGCAGCAAACTGGGCGCTGCTGTTTAAAGGTAGTGACCCAGCAACTGCCAGGGGTGATAACGTGAGTGAAGAGGAAGCCGCTTGATCACCTGAGAGAGAGAGAGAAACAACATTTTGGTGCATCCGGCGTGCGGGAAGTCCGCGCAGGGCGCGGGTATTCCCTATCTGAAGACTATAGCTAATAGTCCTATATTCCCAGGCTCTAGATCTTGAGGACGTTGTGCTCTGGCTAGGCATTGTATACTCGGGCTCCTCCGCTCCCGTTGTCTGGGGCATCGGTTCCCTTTCTCGTCTGCTTTGCCAGGACCTCCTCAAGCCGCTGGATGGCCCTTTGATTGATCACCTGAGGGGCATTGAGGATGCGTGGTTGGAGATGAAAGTGGCAGAGGGTAGCGAGAGAGAGCGTCAGCATCCTGATGCTGTTTGCCGGATCTGTACACAACGTCAAAAGTGTACTCTTGCAAACGCGGTATCCAGCGACCGAGGCGCCCAGACAAATTCTTCAGCGAGGACAACCAGCATAGGGCATGGTGGTCAGTAACCACAGTGAAGTGGCGTCCATACAGATAAGGTCGAAATTTCTGGATGGCCCAAACGACAGCGAGACATTCCTGCTCTGTTATTAGGTAGTTCTGATCCGCAGGTGTTAGTGCGCGGCTGGAATACGCAACTACTCTCTCACGTGAAGTGTCGTCACGCTGGAGGAGGACAGCACCGATTCCGTGGCCGCTAACATCTGTGTGCAGGAAAGCGGGTGCACTCTCATCGAAGTGACTGAGGACGGGGTCTGATGTCAAAGCACGCTTAAGGGCTCGGAAAGCACACTCGCACTCGTCAGTCCACGTTAAATTCATTCCTGACGTCAGAAGCTTGTGTAACGGCCCCGCAATGGCAGCAAAGTGACGGATGAAGCGGCGGAAGTAAGACGCCAGGCCCACGAAACTTCGCAATTGTTTTTGATTGCGCGGACATGGAAAACTAATTACGGCGGCAACCTTGTCGGGGTCGGGTCGAACGCCGTCTTAGCTGACAAGGTGACCTACTACTTTGATGCTTGTGCTGGCGACGTGGCACTTTTTTGTATTGAGCTGTAGGCCAGCGTTCGAAATGCACGTTAGAACTTCGTCCAAACGCTTAAGGTGCTGAGGAAAAGTAGAAAAAATAAATGACGGTGTCCTCTAAATATCATAAATAAACAGGTTTTCCATTTGAGACCACGTAAGAAAGTATCTATCATGCGCTCGAATGTTGCTGGAGCGTTGCATAAGCCAAAAGGCATGACGTTAAATTCGTAAAGCCCGTCGGGCGTCGCAAACGCTGTTTTCTCCTTGTCTGCTTTGCGCATAGGTATTTGCCAATACCCACATCGGAGGTCGAGGCTGGAGAAATATTCTGCGCCTTGTAGGGAGTCCAGGGCATCATCTATGCGTGGCGACGGATATACGTCTTTTTTCGTGATCCTATTGAGCGCTCTGTAATCAACACAAAAGCGGACAGAGCCATCCTTTTTCCGTACCAACACCACAGGAGACGACCAGGATTTGGATGAAGGTCGAATAATATCCCGTTTGAGCATGTCAACGACGTTTTCCTCAATGATTTGCCGTTCCGCCGAAGAGAGACGGTGTGGGCGGTGGCGTACAATGGAGCTGCCTTCGGTTTCGATGGTGTGCTCTGCAACGGAGGTGCGGCCCAGAACTTTGCAATGTACATCAAACGAAAGGCTGTGCTTTTGGAGAAGGTCTAAGAGGTCTCTCTTTTGCTCGGCAGTGATGTGACGACTTATGGTGTCATTTAAGGTAACAGTGGTAGCCTTGATATCAGTAGTAGTAGACAAAGGCGGTGATTTTGCGTGAAGGGGAACCAGCGAAAAGGGCTCACTGTCAGCGAAGCAGCTCACAGCAGTGCCCTGGGGCAGCATCACTGGCGAAGAAGTTGGATTCAAGGCGGTGACCAATGCTTTACCGTCGTTAAACCGCACAAGGCCGGGTGCTATGGTAAGCCCCGCAGGTTTGGAGCGAACTGATGGAGCTATGAACACGTCACCGTTAACTATAGTATTCGAAGTGATCGTTAGAAGTTGTTCATCTCCTGGCGAAATGAAACAATCAGTGGCAGCAACGAAACGGAAGCTGTATGGATCGACATCAGATGAACTCTCAGTAGCTGACATTTGAATGACTCGCTGACGACGCGATATGAAAGCTGATGCCGAAGAAAGTAAGTCCCATCCTAAAATTACTGTGTGAGTGCACAAAGGAAGTACAAGAAACTGAATGTGGTGAAGGATGCCATCTATGAAAACGCGGACTGTGCAAACACTTGAAGGCTTAATAGGGACTCCATCTGCGCAACGAAGGGGAGGACCATCGTAGGGCGTCCTAACTTTTTTCAAGCGGGCGCAAAAGTCTGCATGAATTACGGAAAGTGATGCGCCTGTGTCCACCAGTGCCTCTGTCTGTATACCTTCAACACACACCAATAAAACATTCGATGGGCGGTCCGGAGGAGTTTGACGCAGTTTGAAAGATGCAGCTTTCCCTCCCGAAGCTGCACTGTTCAGTTTTCCAGTTGGCGGTCGGGAATTGAAGTAGAAGGTCGAAGAGGAGAAGAGGAACGCCGCATCGGTGAAGGTGAGCGACGACGTGAGAACCGGGAACTGCCAACTGGATCAAAGTCCTGTGGAGACGGCGAGCGACGTGTGCTGTTCGGATACAGCCGACGATAGGGTGGTCCAGTGGCGTAGAAGTCGTCCCGTTCAAGGTTATCGTAGCTTCGTCGTTCGTCTTGCTGACGGCGTCGGCGAAACCTTGAAATATGACCACGGATGCCGCAATAGAAGCAAGTCGGGCGCGAACTGTGCCAGGCGTTGTAAGGCTGGGAAGATGGTCGTGGTGCGAGTGAGTTGAGCGAACCATGCACTTCGGGCGCTGGTAGCTGCATTGGGCTTTGCTGGGGTGCAGGTGTCCTAGCAGCAACCTGAGTATACGTTGGCATGGCCACAGGATATGAGCTTGGGACAGGTGTGACCGTCATCGAGGCCAGGCTTTGGTAGGGCGTAGGTGTCGTTGCAGCAACGTGAGCATAACTGGGCATGGGATGTGAACTCGGAGCTGGTGTACCAGTCATCAAGGCCAGTTCCTCCCTCACGACGTCGCGTAA